ATTTGCTAGTTTACTGCACACCGGATGTCCTGGTTGCTGTGTACAATGAGGGTTTCAGTTTCTCTAGAAGACATTCCTGGAAAATGCTGCACTAGACTAAACTATTTTTCTTATATTTGGGGTTCTCCAAGTTGACCCTGTGAAAAGATGGAGATTTGGGGTCTCTTAAATTCCTAGGCTTGAAGAAGACCTTAGAGCCCAGACCAAGTCTGACCTTAAAGTTGTTTCCTACCAGTGAGGGCATGAACAATTTATTCACCTGTGAAACAGAGAATAGCAATATCTTCCTCACCTCACTTTTTTAAAAGAACTATACTAGATAGGACCTTGCAAAATAGAAGAAGTGGAAACCTTGTTATAGGACCTTGCAAAACATAAGTAGAAACTAAAGCTGGACAGGACTCCATTTCGACCCACTGGTAGCTTCATTCCTCCTGGGAGGCTAAATTTCCTTAACTTAGCTCTCCAGAGTCTGGTTCTAAATCATTCCTAAATGGAGATGGGACGTACTTTCCTATCCTGGGACTCTTTCCTGCCCAATTGATCAGAGTGGACAACACTAGGTCTGACCTCACCACCCTGTCTGCCGCCAATGCCCATGCCTCACAATGGCCGTTAAGTTAGCTTTGAAAGAAACATTTTCAGATGTGTTTCTTTGAAGACTCTAAAATTATGTTCTGAACATGATGGCCATTGCCTCCCTGGAATCGACATTCCCTCTCTTTGCCCAAGAGTAATACAATCAAATTCCATGAAGGCATGGGGTTCAGCCTCCGTCCACTGAGGTTTCTGCATTTTAGAAGGTTCCAGCATGTAGCCCCAAGAAGAAAGCATCGATGGCACAGCCTCTTCCTGGGAACAGCAAATGTCCTTCTGTTCTGATGCCCTGCTGACATCACTTCTCTTCCTGAACCCAAGTTCCATTAAGTTGCTGGGCACCTGGGAAGCTACCAAATTGTCTGGCTGTCAAAGCCCAGTCACCATGGCCAGGTGCATGGCAGGAACACCCTTGGATTTCAGGACTTGCCTGGCAGCCCTGGCATGTTTATTTGGCTCACGATTCTGGAGCTGGGAAGTCCAAGGGCATGGTGGCAGCTTCTGGCAAGGGCTTTCATACCCTGGCAGCCTCACCTATTTCTTCAACTGGTGTGCCTTCAGGAGAAAGAATAGGTCATCCTGTCCTCACTGACCCTTGGAATAAAATAAAATTCACCTTACCCTGCCCTGAAGGAAAATTGCTACCCTCTGGATTTTTTTAAGTTTTCAAAAGATTTTTTTCACAAAAACCTAGAGTAATTACTAAGGCCAAATATTTAATTCCTTATTTCCATATCCTGCCTTGTTACCACTACATGAATAGCAAACATGCTAAGTTCTCCAGGAAGACTTAATATATTAAATTCAATTCATTCCAATCTAATTTATTAATTTAAAGTACTCTAAATCAAAATGTAATGAGCTTCTGTTTTTTAAAGGGGACTTAAAATGACTTAAGTTTCATCTGGAAAAATAAAACCAGCAAGTATGTCCATGAAATGTTTGCAATAAAACAACTATGAAAAATTTTAGTAAAATATATTAAAATACATAAAAGACTGCAATACTTAAAACATGACACTGAATCAAAACAGGATACAGATCAAGAAACAGAAGAGAAAGACCAGAAACAAACTTAAAATATAAAAACTTAGTCTATAATAAAAGGGTCATTTCAAATTAACAGGGAAAAGTTGGATTTTTCAATAAAGTGCTGGGACAATTGGCTGTTCATTTGATTGAAAACAAAATTAGGACCCTATTGCACAGTACCTCCAATAAACTCAGGGGCTTAGAAATTTACAGGCAAGAAAAGGAAACACATGTATCATAACACACAGGGGGTTAGAATAGAAAAGATTTTCTAAACATAATGCCAAAGCCAGAAACCATAAAGGACTAATAAGCCCCACTAAATAAAAATTAAAAATCTTTCTCCATTAAAATGACCTCCATATACAAGGTCAGAAGGTAAATGTCTACATGGCACAAAAACTCATCACACATAGGGCAGGCAAAGGGCAAATATCCTGACCATTTAAAGAACTCATAAAACAGTAAGGGAAAAAATGGAAAACTAGGCAAAGAACACAATTATGAAATATACAATTCATGAAAATGATGACAAACATGGAAAAAATTCTACCTTAGGCAGAATCCAAAAAGCGAAGTTAAACCAGCATAGTATGATATATATATTACATATCAAATTATTAGTTATTTAAATGTAAGCTAAAAGAATAACTCCCAGAGTTAGTCATACTGCTGGGAAAGAGACTCTCATACACTCCTGGCAGGAATATCAAACTGATATAACCTTTCTGGAGGGTCATTTGGAAATATGCTTCAAAAACTTGAAAAACAGGCATACTCTTGACCCAGCAACTTCACTACTAGAAATTTCATCTAAGAACATAATTTTTGATATTCTCAAAGATTTACCTATAAGAATGGTTATTATAAGAGCTATGTACATTTTTTTTATGCAAAGAAAAAAATCATAACTCTCCAGTAAATGGGATTGGTTAAACAAACTATGATATATGGAATATTATGCTGCCTTTAAAAACAATACTGTGGGAGATGACTTATTTTATGATGTGAATCATGATAGAGACAGTGGGAAAAAACAGATTAGAAAGAGTATACATACTATAACCCCACTGTAGTTTTTTAAAGGTATATGTGAAATACATATAAGAATAAACAAAAGGTATAAAGGATACAGAACAAAGAGTTTAATTGGGACTATTAGTAGAGATGGGATTATAGGATTTATTTTACTTGCTGTGTTTTTTTCTAAACCTCCCACAATGAACATGTATTACTTTGGTAATTTGAAAAAATACTAAGGTAACTGTTAAGCTGAACGTTTTGTGCATAACCTGAAACCAACACGAGAGGTGTTCTCAGCTCTTCCAGGTGATCTATGACTACTCACCAAAAGTGGAGTCTTCCCCGAGCTCCTTGCCATATTTCAGCATGCAGTCTCCCAGCAAGCCTTCTGTCTGCGGGTATCCGGTGGTCTTCACCTGCCCTCGGATCTTCGACACAGTGTTCAGCATTCCTAGCTTAGCTCTGTATGCTTAAAAACATTATCATTTGTAATTCCTTAAAGTTACAAGGTGGAGTGACAGGTATATAATGCTTAACAAACATAGCTGCCAAAATTGAGGTCACCTTAGACAAAACGCCAGAGACCTGTACGTATGAAATAACCGATCGCATGTAACCTATTTAATTTTCTCACATTATTTTCTAGATTCTTTACCAAGGAGGGTACTAAGCACACTGCTGCATAACCATGATGGAACATAGGAATTATGGCACACGTTACTGACTCCAAATAATAGGAACCAGGGCTATTATAAGCACCACCCATAGAGTGAGACCCTTAGGAACGCTTGCAATTACCAGCGAGTGAAATCAGACACTGACACCTGTGCAGACCATTCTTCCTGGAGACCAAATGTAAACTAAGAATAGAATTGCTGAAGTAGATGTTTCAAATGACCAACCAGTCATTAACACACACACGCTCTGCGCCCAAGAATGGGTTCAGACATGAGATTCAGTATCATAAGGGAGGTCTGCTGCACACGTTTAGGAGGCAGAACCACAGGAGGAGCAGACCCCACCATAGTGAACACGAGCTTTGTGCTGCTGCTCCCCCTGGTGCAGCGCAGCTCCCTGGCCCTAGGGAGGTGATGGACAGTGACTGCTTGTTACCTTCTTTACTCTGACTTAGGCAATCAGTATTTCTTAATCCCAGACCCTGTGTAACACACTGTGCTTATTCCTGGGACTCTAGAGAGGCCTAAGACAGCTTCTGCCCTCAAGGAGCTCACAGCCTAGCTTCTAGAAGGCAGAATATATGTGGTATGAGTATTAAAGTCCGGTGCGGTGCAGGGAAAGGAAAAGATAGCAATATGCTGGACAAAGATTGAACAATGTCCCTAAAAAGTACAAGAAACAGTGTCAGTAAAGTGTAAAAGAGGGAATGCTTATGGTATAATCGATGGACAAGGAGTAGGCTAGTTTGACCTAAGAAGAAATTAATACAGGACAAAATGGAAGAGATCTATGGAAATACGTGACTATGAATTGAACACCAAAGCTAAGGATTTAGGATTTTGTTCTGCAGGCTAGAGAGTGAATCACACACCAGCTTCTGGTATTTGAGATAATTTTAGGCAGTCACAGAACAAACTTTTCTTTTCTTTTACTTTAATAATTACATATTTATTTTTAATGTATTCTAGACCAGTGCTTCTCAAACTTTAATGTGTGTGCAAATAACCTAAAGATCTTGTTAAAAAGTAGAGTCTGATTCAATCGGTCTGAGGTGAGCCTGAGACTCTGCATTTCCATCAGTCTCTCAGGGATGCTGATCCTGCTGTTCCGTGCACCACACTCTGAGTAGCAAGCCTTCAGACGCTCACAGTGCCAGCCTTTTGAATCTTGCCAACCTCAGCCTCAAAGCACTTATCCTCCATATCCCCAGGGCCAAAGGCTTCACTGCCACCCCATCACACATGCATACTCACACGCACACACNGTGTACATATCTGTGGGGTACTGTGTCGAATATCAATACCTGTGTGATGCTCAAATCCAGATAATTAGTATATTCAACATTACACAATGTAATCATTACGGTTCTTAAAGCTATCATCATCAGTACAATTTTTTAAAACTTTATACGTGCCGTCCTCCCTGTATATATTTGATAAAATACATGTTCTTAAATTTTAACTTTCTTGATTTTCAGATGGTTAAGTCTGTGCTGATTCGTACAGCCAAGGGCCTCACAGTACTACACGCAAAAATAAATTCCGAAAAAGTAAAGGCAGCTTCAAAAATCCACAGATCTCAAGGCTCGGGCGCCCCCTATTGGTTCCTGTAATTTACAGCCTAGGAGAACCTCATCAGGTGATGCCGCCTGGGGACCAAGGACATTCAAGACCTCCTGGGGAGCAGCTGCTGTCACCCTGGACCTTCTCATGCTGTTTTTCATATTCTTTATACTTCACTTCTTCAGCATTGGAGCCATGAAGTAAAAGCCCTTTCAGA